ATACGGTATTCATATTATAATAAAAAAACTACTGATTGTATGAGAAATCCACAGAATAAAAGCTTAATAACAAAGGCAAAATAGAACTTAAGCCTGTTTTAGTTAAAGAGCATAGATGTTTAACTAGATGTTTAACTGTTTAACAAAGTTAATGTCAATGTGAAACTTATTGAAAAACAAGATCAATTGAGAATAAATGAATTTTAAAAAACATCTTGTAAGATTTTTACTGAGAAATATTTTCAAAATACTCTTTTTATCTGGCCCCCTTATGACTGGGGAGTGTCGGCCTACTGGTTGGAGCAATACGCTTTGAATCCAGAAGTTCTGAGTTCAAGCAACACTCACACATACTGCCACTCTGGGTCCCTGTGCAAAAAGACCCTTAACCCAACACTGCTCCCCGGGTGCCGTACAATGGCAGCCCACTGCTCCCCAATGGGATGGGTTAAATGCAAAGAATTAATTTCCTTGCTCTGTACTTGTGGCAGTGTAATGACAATAAAAAGCTGGGGGAAAAAATAAATAAACCATTGTTTGATCAGCAGACTGACACCTATAAGCCTGATAATCTGTAGCCTAATTTCCTGAATTTACTTTGGGCCGGAAGTTTCTGCGCTTTTCTGTGGATGTCACGTAAAATATATATGTCACGTATAATATATAAAAATATCTTAAATGTTATTTTAAAGAACTTGCTAAAAGATATGTTTTGATTTTATCCCTTACGCTCTTTGAAATCAAAGCTCCCCATTGGTCTCACTGAAGGCTCTCTCATATTCATAAGCTGTCATAAATGAAAGATGTTTCTAGATTTTTACCCTGACTTTGGAGATTGATAGTCTCCCTATGCAGGCATTAGAGCTTTGAAACCTATAAGCTGTGGATGATGCGCATAACTATTTCAATTTAGTCTCTTATTTTGTCTCCTGATGACATCCCATTGGGGCAGAATACTTAAAGCAGTACTTTGGGGAACACCACAGTTATGTGAACTTTCCTTCTGGTCCCTTGCACAAAACATGCAACTAATCTGATATTTGTTTTTCTCCAAATGCCTTTGCAAGAGAGTCAATATTTCTATTCTGCTTTGTTGAGCTGAGGAAAATTGTTTTTGGTCAAAATCTTGCTGTTGAAAGAGGCTTAGCAGGTGAACTTTAATAAATTAAACTTTTTTTTAAAAGAATTTCTTAAACAAAAAGACCCGCCTATCATTAGATACTTTACACACAGATTAATGTATTGAGTTGGATCTGTATTATTATTATTATTATTATTATTATTATTATTATTATTACAGGTAATAAAATAAAATAAAAAGTTTAATAAAACAAACAAACTGCATTAAATGATCTTCAGCTTGTCTGAATTGTTTGCTTTGGTGTTTCTAAACTTCTGTCTAACAATACCACATAATTTTTTAAAAAGTTTAGGCTGCATGCTTGTTGGAGGTGTATGACCGAAGCGTCTCTAAATGAATGGGCTTTATTTCACTCCTCCTGCAGTATTTTCTTCAGCACTTTTTTCCACCATACCTTTTCCTTTTTCTAAGTTTTCTATTCATACAGTGCTGGATGCTGCTCTTCAAGAAGACCTTGTTTCTTTCTTCTCTTAAAAAGCTTGCCTTAAGCCATTGTGTCAATAACTGTCTTCAGGAAAATTTAAGATTAGGTCTTTTCTCCAAATTTTATAGCACAAAACATTGCCGCTACATTAGATTTCTGTACACTCTTTTATTGGCCGTTTGTAATAGGGTAATTTTCTGCAAAATAAAAATGTAGCGTTGTTATTAGCAGTAAGTCGATCCATCCTTCAGGGTTGTGGTGGGACAGGAGATCTCCGTAGGTGTGGGTGAGAGGTGGACAGGTAGCCAGGTAGTCTGTTGCAGGGAAACACAGAGACACAAAAAGGCATATAACCATGCACAAACACCAATCAATCTAAGAGTCAAATTTTCAGACTGTGGGAGGAAGCTCAAACATCATGCATCACGAGAATAACATGCAACTCACAAGGATAACAACTCCACGCAGACCGACCCTGGGCCAGGAATCAAATCCTTAACGTTCTTGCTGCAAGGCAAGAGAAGAAACATTAAAAAACAAATTGAATAGCAATAAACACTTTAAATGTATCACTCTCTATGTAACCAATAATCAAGAGAGCGTGAGTTTTAAGTGATTTAATGAAATAAAGAACCTTTTAATGTTCTTTTTTATTGCAATACACTCTTAAGGACACCTCCATGAGATAGGGTTGAAAAAAATTATGGATGGAGAGAATTTTATTCTGTAAAAATGAATAATGTAAAGTGTTGTCTTTTTATTGTGCTTTTGCTAGTGCTTATTATTTTATTACTACTTTTATACACCACTTTACTTATTGTTTTTATGATTGATCATTTGTATTTTATGATTGTGTATAGCACTTTGCTCCTGTTGGGTGTTGAATATGCTTCAGAAAAAATTTTGTATGATATGGTGTGGTATGTGTTGCTTCCCTAAAATTAATTAAATCGTGAAACATTTCTGTAAACGATGTTGTTGCATGTTTGAGGCAGGAAATGTACAATACATGAAATCATTTGCACTGTGTGGTAAAGCTCCATCTGTTTTTAAAAAATATGTCCCCTTCTCAAACTTTGACTGGAAAAAGCAACTTTCACAGCATGACAATGTCTACTAAAACAGACCTGCAAGGTGGCGTAGTTATTAACGCATTTACCTTTCTTCAAGGTCAGTAAGGTGGAGTCCAGACTGTGTCCAGCCTTTTGCCCACTAGATAGACACCAGTCCCTTGCAGAGCTGATGTACAGTCAGTAGAAGATAGGTGGACAGAGTAACAGAAGACACAATTATCCAATGCGAAATAATTTTGATATTTTGAAATGAAATAGTAAAAATTGTATATACATTCGTTGTCAATACTAAACAAAATCAAAATCTAATTGTGATTCAACTAAATGTTCTATTGTTTAGATTTTTTTTTAATATAAATTCAACAGGTTTTTTTTTCTCTCAGTGTGGATCTTAATTTGATCTCTTTTCTTTCATTCAAAGACTTACAGTTTTCCAGTCTTATTTAAAAAGCTATCATATAAATTAGTGTTGTAACGATTCATTTTTTGGCCCCGATAACGATACCCGATACCTGGCTGTGCAGTATTGGCCGATACCGATACCATCTGTTTGAAATTGATGTGTGTGTATTAGGGTTGTTACGATATTAAACCTTTCAACTCGATTCCGATACTAGGGAAAATATTCGATACTCGATACCATTTTCGATACCACAAGGACAAAAACAAAGACTCCAAAATTCTACAGAAATATTTTCATTAATAAATAAAATACAATAAATAAAAACAATAAACAATAAGAACAATGTTTTGAGGTTGTATGCTGTGCACAATCTTAAGCAAGCTTGATAAAAAAATTATAAAATTAAAATTAATTGTTCCTTCCTTGGCTATGTTTTGCACACATAACAATGACACTAGCCAAACCGGTTAAGAAACAAAAATCATTCTCAGCAGCTGCACCTGTTACAAAAAAAGGTCTGAAACTGAAAAGTGTACAGAATTATTCAATCACACAGTGTTCTGAAAGTGCATTTTCCTCTATTCTGCACTTAAGATGAATGACTGCTTAGGTGCCACTGGTGGTGGCACTGTATCGATACTTTTAAAAACGAGTATTGTATCCGTATACAACGTTTCAGTATCGATACTTTTTGGAGTATCGATACTTTTGACAACCCTAGTGTGTATATATGATGAACCGCATACTACTTGGATGTAAAACAATTGCCAACATGACTTTCTCAAGCTGCTGCCTACCTTTGTGAAGAAGGAAAAAGACAAAGTGAATCCAGTAGAACGTTTTATTGCCTACCTGGAATGGGTTACAATATTTGAGTAAACCTTTGGCTTTCAATATGGTATATGCCCTATTTGCTGGTACTCACCCATACCGATACCACCATTTTAGTACTGGATCGGGGCCCCGTCCGATACTGGTATCGCTATCGGTGCAACACTAACATAAATGAGACCTGGACCAACAAGAGCAATACCAGCTATCCTGTACAGTAGACCATGATAGATTAGTAAAGCCAGCACTTAGATAAAGGTGAACAAAGAATGAAAGGTGTTTTGAGTATGTTTATGTCATTGTTTTGTTTTTATCAAAGTTGCTTCAAGCTTATTTACACCTTTACATGTTTTCTCAGTTTTATGTGTAGACCTGAACTCTGACGGACCCATAACTCTTGAGTTATGTGATATCTGAGCTTTTATATCAATGTGACTGCTGCTTATATCCAGAGCTCTTCTCTGCTGTTGCTCTTTCAGTGACTTTCTAAGGTGTTCAAGGCTCAAAGGACTAATTTCAAGCTTGAGAGATTTTTTAAAGGTCTGTTTAAAATCTGATTGAACATAGAAGGATTTAGACTTTTAAACTAAGATTTGGGTGTTTTGTGATCATTTTGACAATGATGGCATGGCTCAGAGATTAAAGTCAGGACACTTCAGATCATATTTTTCCGGAAATAGTAAAAAGGTTCCAGACTTTAATGACCTACAATGATAAAGTCCATAATCTGATGTGATACTTAACTAAAACATGTCACTGGTGGGGATTTTAAAGTCATTTATTCATAAAATGCTTCCACAAGAAATTTTAGAGCAAGAGCAAGCAAAAACAAAGTGTAATAGTTTATCATCTGATGAACAGTTAATAAATGTCAATTGTTTTCTGATTTACTATACTGCAATTGATCACCAAAGTAATCAATTGCTACGAGTAACAGCCTCATGCGGAGTTGCTGTTATTGTTGACTTCTTGGAGCATATTTTGCCCAGCAACTTTTACGGGATGACTCACCCAAGGCGCCTGTTACGCATGACAAAAAGAGGGGGGTGAAAAAAAAATCAAAGAATAAGGTGGAGCAAGCAGATGGTGCATTTCACATAAAAAGGTGTTTGTTGCGGAGAAGCTGAGTATTTGAGATCGGGGGAAAGGGCCACATGTTGTCACAAATCCAGACCATGCAGAGCTCCAGGCTGCTGAGCGGAGCGCTCATCTGCGCGCTGCTGCTGCTCTCCAGCGGCACCGCCGGGGCGCAGGGACTTCTGGACGCAGAGTCCGAGGAGGAGCTGAGCCCCAGAGCACTACGGGATTTCTACCCAAAAGGACCAAACCTGACCAGTGAGAAGCAGCTGGTGAGTAACTCCAAATGCACGCAAAAATATTCAGAATCTTGCTTGAAATTCTACTGTTTTTCCTCAAAACTCCTGCACCGAGACTCTGGTTTGAGCCAAACTAAAATAATAATAAAAAAAAGTTTAAAGTATAAAAATATTGAATTCTGTATTTGTGCTTTTGCAAAACAAAAATATTTTTGACTGCTGTTTTTATTTATTTATGAAATTATAACATGAATGACTTTGCAACTTGACTTTCTGTTTAACCTCAGCTTGGCGCTCTCCAAGAAGTTCTTGAAAAGCTGCAGGCAAAGCGACTTCCTTCATGGGAAAAGAAATTTGGCCAAGTCCCAACGGTAGATGCAAAATAACACCTCTAAAATTTAGCAAAACTTTTGTATTTGTTTATTTGTAAATGTAATCAAACTTTTTTTTCCCCCTCTCCCCTCAGTGTGATGTTGGAGAGCAGTGCGCGGTGAGGAAAGGCGCACGAATCGGGAAGATGTGCGACTGTCCCCGGGGAGCTTTCTGCAACTTCTTCCTGCTGAAGTGCTTATGAGCCTCTCCGGATCTGAATGTAGCTTTGAAAAAATAGGAGCAAAATGAAGAGGAAATTCACTCTGAATCACTTTGTTATTAGGCTCAGATTTTTCTTAACTGCACAGCTCAGCGCAGCTGGAGTGACTCTAAAATTACAAAGAACTGTAGAAGTTTTATTATTAAGAGTAAAACATTTCACATCATTCTACAGAAAGCATCACTGTTAGGTTCCCAAGAGGATGGTGGTGTTGTAGTTTCTGTAAATAAATATTCAGATCCACTTTAACATCAATAAATTCACCTGAGGGACCATAAACACACTGTAAAGTAAAACCAGCAATATTATGGGAACATATATCCTTCATCTGCTGTGTTTTAAACTTGTTTTGTTTCAGTCAAATGTCTTGTGTTTGTCTCATGCTAATAAACAGTGAATCCTGTTGTTTTGTAAAGCAGAGCAGTGGCTGTATTTTTTCAGAATCTTAGAGAACAATCAGAATTCCTGGTGTCGGAATCAGTGATTGACTAGTAATGTGCAGAAGGTGGTGTTGAGTCTCCAGGTCAGAAAAATGAAATAAAATATCAGAGGAGGGTTCAAAATTAAATACAGTTCTGCCTTAGAGGAAGCAGATAGGAGCCAGAGAGTGAGTGTCAGTCAGGCTGTCACCGAGCCAGAATCTCTGAACCTATACTTTCATTTCCACTGGGGACAGCTGTAGGCTGATGACGACAATTATTTGGAAAAGTCTCAAATAAAACACAGAAAAACAAGCTATATTTGATCTGTGGTTAATTAAAATTATTCATCCCTGCCAAGTCAGTACTTTGTAGAATCACAGTGTGCTTCTATTACAGCCAAAAGTCTGTTTCAGTATGTTTCTTGTAGTTTTCTACATGACATTGAAACATTTCTTAATTTTTCTTTTCAAAGCAGCTTAAATTTCTCCACATTAGAAAGAGAGAGCATCTGTAAGCAGCAGTTATTTTCATCTGGATTTAGGTTTGGATTTTCCCCCCACTTTTAGTCTTGATATAGTCAGAATTTACAAAGTTTTTTTTTTCCTCCAGGATTACCTTGTGTTTAACATTAATCTATCTTCCCATCATATTTGTTCCTGATGAAGAAAGCATCACAACAGCATGATGTTATAACATTGTGGACATAGCTCAGTTCTTATCTAATGCAAGCACCTTTACCTTAAATTTGACATTAGGCTTGAAGCAAACTTAAAACACCCACCGATGTCTGTGTAGACACTTATACACTGATGTACAGAATTTGATATGAATGCACAAGGCAGATAGAGTTACGTTCATCTGTGGGAGCATTCCCCATCCCACCAGACTCTTTAGTTGTGTTTTATTATTTCTAATGTCTTCATATAAACTATATTAAACAAATCTGGACCCTAATGCCTAATAAGATAGCTTTTAAAGAGGCTAGATTGGATTTTAATCAGGGGTTAATACAATTAATGTTTGGGAAACTTTAATGCATGAAATCTCCAAAAATTGCAATAAAGTTAGTTATTTAAACCTAAAAGGATGTGCAAATATTCAAGGAGTATGAACACTTTGTAAGACGCTTCAACTGAAAGGAGGTAAAGGTAAACTGACAGTATAATGATGATGGTTGTCTGTGGAAATGAAATATGGATGTGGAAATATTACGATGAAACCTCAGCTTCATCGTAATATGAGCTCAGATAAGCCTCATCCTTCGGGGGATCTTTTTCAGCTCATTGTGTCTTTGGAATCACTGCGTTTCAAAAAAGAAAGGAAATCATTTGTATCTCGGAGTAATTTTAACCCTAAAAAAGTCAGAAATCCTTAAAAGACTGCCCTTAGGAATTCATTCTTGGACTACTGGTATTGTTCTTTCTTTATCACAGTAATTATCATTCCAAAATACAGTAAATAATGCAGTAAATAATACAATTTATTGACAGTGATATACATTTTTGAAGCTCAGATCCCAGCAGATGATGTAAAGCTGAGCTTTACTGATGATGATATATTTAGGATACATCTTACCCCAAGGGTCTGGATACTCGTGGTATTCTGGAAAATTAAGAAATAACGGAGCTGCATGAAGTCAAAGTGGAGATGCAGCTCGGTTGGAAGGCTGACAGAACCATGAATGAGGCAGCTTAGAAAGGAGAGCCTTGGATACTTATTGGTATTATAAAGATAAAATTTGGCATTAAAAGAAGCAAGTAAAGTTTAATAGGTTACCGGTATTCAAGAAAGATTATACATACACTAAAAGTTTCTGCTAAGCTCTATTAGCATAGGTATTTCATATATTTAATTAAGCATTTGGAGACAACTCTGTGACAATATAACATGAAACAGCCCAACATTTTACCAGAGCAGCACTGAGCCCTTGAATTTAAGCTGAAAATGACCTGCTGTTACACTGAAACTATGTGCAAAACCAGAAAAAATGAAAAAAATGAAAAAACAAAAACTCTGAAACTCACTGAAAGACAGAAGAGCTGCTTCATGTACCAAGAAGAAATGAGAGCTAACTTAAGACTCCTGCAAAGTAAGTCCTGCCATTTCCTATTAAGTTTTTTTATATATCTATTTTCAATTTCTTATCTTTCCTTTTATGTTAATAGTGTGACACACAAAATATTGTATATTTTACTATGGTAAGCATAAATTGATTCTATATTAACATTGATAAAAGCCATTCATATGTTATTAAAGACTACATTAAACACATCAGATACTGTTTTGGAGAATGTTCTACTGCTCTCTATGCGCTTTATGTGTTTCATGGCAGCCAGCATCAGCAGAGGGAGCCTGATTAATTAAAAGCTGCAGCTGTTCTAATCACACTCACCTGGCTCTACTCCCCAAAACCTTTGACGAGCCAAGCCACACCCTGGCTCCAAACCTTAATCTCTATTTATAGTGTTGGCTCCAAAACTGCTGAACCGCAGCTGATTTTTCAAACAGTAGAGGCGAATAACAAACATTAAACCAACAGAGCATCAGTTTAGTGTTGATGCTGGCTGCACTCCTAACTATGTTTCTCTGATGGACACAGAAAAGTGCAATGCTTCAGATAAAATATACCAAATGTTTCCGCATTTAGAAAGCATTTGACATTTCCTAAGTTTAAACAGCAAAACAATGTATTTATTGGGAATTTATGTCAACATGTTCAAGGGGTAAGCAACATTTACAACATATATTAAATAACATTTCTTTAAAGATGCATTACCATCATGAAAATTCCAAAAGACATAGCTAATGGATTATAAGACTTTTTTTTTTTATTCTGGCTAAAAGCTACAATTCTGAGTCTATTTTCCATTTAAGAATAAAGATCATAAAATATTTTCAAGAGGGGCCTGAAATATTCTCTTCAGTAAATTAAGTGACCTAGCTAAATTATTATTTTATTACTGTTATATTTTTAACCTTGCTCTACCCTTTATCCTTTTACCTAATAGAGATTCCAGCTTTATTACCCTCATAATTCTTCACAATTCTAAATGCAGCTGTGACCAACCTCCTTAAAAACACAACTGATTAGTAAATGTGTAAATATACAGTAGAAGGGTGTCTAGAATAGAGCTGTCATTGAAATAAAGCCATGCATAGTCCTGCATGTTCTTTACAACAGGGGAAAACAGAAAAAAGATGGAAGGAAGACATTGTTTTGGTCAGATTAGACAACATTTCAACTTCTTAAAACGCATGCCAACTGCTTCATATGAGAGAGAACTAATAGTTAACATCAGCAAGAGTTGACCGCAATGTTATGAAAATGAATACGCAATTTAGGAATACAGAGGTAAAAAATTTATGCTGGGAAGAATAAAACCAAAATAGTTTAAAAAAAGAAGGAGAAATATAGAGAAAAGAAGGGTCAGAATAAGTGGAAAATAACAGAAATAAAGAGATGAAAAAGTAAAAATTCACAATAACTTTTTTGGGCTACCGTATAAAACCTCAAACTCAACACTGTTCCTGAAATTTTGAATTGAAAAAGCTGCCCGGATGGGAAGCTAAACGTCTTCAAACTTGGAAACTAGGTCCAGTGGATTGTTTTTAATTTTTTTGGAATGACAATAACCGGGATGACTGAGAACCTTCACCAGCATGTCTTTCTAATTCAGTACACCTGAATTTAATGACTGCATGACCTTCTCAGCAGTCATTAATCACAAATTCATTTGAGTTCGGAGGCAGAAAACACGTAAAAAATGCAGGATACTGAGTTTAATGTTTAGAGTTATAATGAAGTGGCCACAGGTCCATATGAACATTTCAATCTGTGGCCAGGTTTTAAAAACCAGGAGTAGAAACAACAGCAATCAATCTGAAATGAACTGCATGAACAAAAATTTAAGATTGGGGTCCCCATCAGTCAGGACCTGGTCCAGAAGTATTTTAGAGGTAAAGAAGTAAAGTAGAAAGATCAAGTCTTCAAGTTTTTTTTTTTAGTTTATCAAAAACTGAAATGAATTAGCAATATTACAAATTGACCACACTGAGTAGAAACAAAATGCCATGTTTTAAAATAAATAACTGCTACTTGCTTTTAAATTTGCTGGTGTCCACCTTTACTGTTTATTACATAGTCTCAGCAGCCTCTGATCAATAATGAACAGTGTCCTGAATGTTTAAGCTTAACCGGACGTTTAACTTCTCCTAAAGTCAACAAAACCCTCTGTCCTGTTTGTTTCTATGTTCTGGAAGAATTGATAAGAATATATAAATCGCCGATCACTGGACAGAATCTCTAAAGCAAAAAAAAGGGAATGAATTTATTACCTACCAAATCGGAAATTGCTCCTTACAGAGAAGGACTTTATCTGAAAGGATTCACCATGTGAAAATATCAATTTCATCTAACTTAAACATCAGACAGATGATGCTTAATGATGTATTTTTTATTACTTCCTATACAAGTGGTTTTCATCCACCCAGCTCGGTACCCCTTTTCTGAAGAATAAGCAGCTACATTAATGTAAATGCTCACATCCGATGGATAAAGGAGAACTTTAGACGTCTTTCTTTCCTTTTCTGGGAAGATGCCATTAGCTAATCAGCCAGCAACACATTAGGGTTATGGTTAGATTCCCAAAAATATTTTATAGGTATAATTGCATAAATTAAGCACTTTCACAATTAGATCAAAATGTCAAAACTTATAAACACTCTGCAGCAAGTGCTTTGATAGTTGTTTCAGTTTTGGCTCGCGTCACCAGTGGTACTTATACTCCAGATTGAAGACTTTGCCTTCTTTATATGTCTCTAACCTTGACTGATTTAAAATAAAAAATAAAAAGAAATTCTTTGAAAATCAGCTTTATTGTCATTGATTGTAAAACAACTTTATTTTTACAATATATTCTTTAGGTTTTTTCACATAAAGAAACTCAACTACTTCTCCAGAACAACAGAACCCCTGATGCATTGTAATGGCTAAAAATGAGACACT